TTACAGGTATGAGCTGGGAGACAGAAAGCTGGAGTATTGATTAATATAGTTCACTGTTCATTTTCAAGTTCACTTGTAACTAACATGTATTTCTTTATAAAGATGAAAAACCAGTATAAATTTTCTTTGAAGATCATGTTAAGATAGGATAAAGTGTTGCTAATACTATGATAATGTATGTTTAAAGTCTAATTTTAATTTCTGAAGAAAAAGTATTTTCATTGTTAATTTTTTTAAGTTGTACTCGTAATCCTCACTCCTCACATACCCTCAACAACTGTTTTGTATTACCCTTGTTCAACGTTAGTCATTAAACAAGTAAATACATATTTTTATAGTTATGCTGATGAAATGTATATACTTTTGTGTCATTCAGACATACCTTTAGGTATTGCTCCTTAAGCTTTATAGGCATAATTTTCATTGTTGCAGGTATTTTTACAGTTGACTCCAAAATTTTGTATTGGGGAAGATTTAGAAACATAGATCTAACCTATTCCATTGAGTTCATTGCTTTGCTATTTAAGTAGGACAAAAGGCAATAATACCCCTAGGGTAATTACTATGATTAATTTAGCGTATGCCTTCCTATACCTATCCTGTAAGTGCCTTTTTATTATATAGTACAGGTATTTTTTTTCCCATCTGGTCATTTGTGTTATTATTTATGTCTTTTTAGATGTGTAAGTTTTACATTTTTTAATGAAATCCTATCTATTAACTTTTTCCTTTCTAGTTCCTACTTTTGCTATTATACTTAAGAGGGCCTTTCCTTTTTTCTTTCTTTTATTTTTATTTTTTTAAAGATTTATCTATTTAGTCATGAGAGACACAGAGAGAGGCAAAGACATAGGCAGAGGGAGAAGCATAGACATAGGCAGACGGAGCTCGGTGCGGGGCTCAGTCCCAGGACCCTAGGATCACAACCTGAGCAAAAGGCAGATGTCTGCTCAACCACTGAGCCACCTAGGTGCCCCAGGAGGTCCTTTCCGTATTTTGTTTGTTTTCTTTTTTTTAGGAGGTCCTTTCCTATCCAAGATTATATTATTATATTATTATATTATAATTTTTTTCTTTTATGGTTTCATTTTTTTAATCCTAAATTCTTAATTCAAGCTCATTCAGCTTGTGAGACTTTTTAACTATTGGCTAGACATTTTAAATCATTTAATAATGCACTTAATTTACAGTGATTACTTAATATTACAATGATTAACTGAGTCAGCATTACCTAATAAAAATTTAGGTCCAAGGTATTTGCCTAGTTTTATTTTTTTTAGTATCATGAATTTTAATATTTGAATGCTTACACTTACGAAACAGTATTTTCCATAAAATTGTCCTGGTTGTCAGTCTGAAATACAGCTCAGTCATGTATCTTTTCCTCCTAGGGAATGGAAGTTGACCAGTTAGACTTACGAAGAGACATTGCCTACAACTTGTCTCTCATTTATCAGAGCAGTGGGAATATTGGAATGGCTCAAAAGCTTTTGTATACCTATTGCACTATATGAAGTACAACTGAGAAAGAAGCATGGTGCTCTGTGTGTGGACCAATTATTTTCTGAGGGCTTAATATTAACCCCAAAATGGAAATGACAATTTCAGAATTATCTGTGTATTTAGTTTTTCATATGTGATAATGATCTTTTGATAGATAAGCAAAATTATTCCTACAAGAATTTGTATAGTTCTGTCATTTTCTTTTTATATTTCTTAGTAAAATTGTCCCCAAAGATGAAATGGAGAATGTTAACCTTTAAGCCAGCTTGGGGTTGAATATGCTGATTTTTTACTCTTCATTCATCTGTGCATTCGGAACTACATGTTAAACACCTGTGTACTAGGCCCTGTGATGGGTGCTTGGAATACAATATTAGAGCAGAAATGACTCTGAGTACAGTTCTTTAAATACAGAATTTGCATATTCAAACTTGAATATATATTCATTTGAAGGAGATGTTTGTTGCATTTCTGCCTACATTATCATTGTTGAGTCATCCAATTTATTTGTGCCCCGTTGCTATTGCACGGGCAGTTTCTCAAATACATAAAAAGGAAGTTGCTTACTAAAGGAAAGATGAGTTAGGACTCTTTCTCATATTAACACAAGTATGTAATTAATTCACTTAGCTCCTCAGATAACTATTTGAAATGGTTATGTAGTAGGAAGACACATAATTGAGTTAATCTTTTACTTTTCACCTGCATGTATCTTTGTTGTATAGATCGAGACCTGGTAGGCTGGCATAATTCAGAACATCCTGTTCTGAAGCAGATAAAAAAAAAAAAAAAAAAACGCATTATCAATGTTGGTGGCTTTCTGACAAAAAAATAGAAAAGAGAGGACCACATTCAGTAACATGACATAGTTTCAAGATCACTAGGAATGTAGGAAGGCTAGGTATATGGATAAAGTATTGCTATGATAAACTATGAAAACTAGATTAAACTTTTATTAAATATGGTATGTTCTTGAATCTAAATAACAATACTTTTAAGATATAGCATTGATCTACTAACATCTTTTGAGAGTTTCTTTTTAGGGGAAAATGCTATAATATGTGTGTGGATTATAAGACGTAGTGTAATTGTGAGAGGAAAACAAGTATGAGACTTAATGGTGAAAGAAATACAGCAAGGGCTTTGTAGGAATTCTTATCACCCTTTATCCTGTATACATAACTTTGTAGTTGAAAAGCAAAATTTGTATATAATAAGTAAATGTATCATGCATTCTGTGTGTGTATTTAAATGTGTATATAATTTAAATAAATTCTATTTTTATAATTAAAACAGTTTCACATGCTTATATGTTTTATTTCATGCCATTTGTGGTACTGATAAAGCTAATATCTTTGACTCTTGTGAAATTGAGTATTCGATATTGAGTTCTTTTGAATTAAACTATGCTATGAAAAAATAAATAAATAAACAAACTATGCTATGACTCCAGCTGAAGTGCTGAACAGCCTTGCAGGAAACTTAACTCTCTCTAGCAGTATTCTAAGAAAAAAAGTTGACATTGCATGAATCTGTTTAGCATTTAAAAGCATAGCTACCATTTTCTGAGTGTGCCAAGTACAGGGCTGGGTACTCTAGATATGTCTCTGCTCCTCTCAGGGAATCACCTGCAAGGTCGGTATTATTGCTGATCTTCTTATCGCCACCTTATAAATGAGAAATTAAATGTCATGTTCAAGATCACTAGCAAGCTCCTTCACAGGAACATACTTATTCTAGCTCAGAGTAAGAACATAAAAACTGAGCATGTTTATTTTAGAAAGAAAAAGGAGAATAGCTGTTATTGTTTTCTGTCCACTAGGCCTTCAACCTATTAAAAAAGCCCTATAGTAAGTAAACATCTTTGGAAGTGTCTTTCAAAAAGCTGATACTTTCTTACCTACCATCCTCACTCCAGCCAGGGGATGCTGACAGCCACTTCACACAGTAAGATTTTTTTCTATTGGTGTCAGTTGATTAATAAACTGAGCGTCTCCCACTCCAAGCTGGGCCAATCAGGAGTTTCCTCGCTCCGTCCTTGGGAATTTAGAAGTGAGATGGGGTTATTCTGTAGGATTGAAACATGAGAGTTTAGAGGACATTTTCTGCTTTCCCTGTGGGCTGACTAGCAGTTAACCCCTCCCACTGAGCAAGAAAAATAGAATCTATGTATGAAGCAGAGCTGGGAGATGCAAAGGAAACTCCAAGGGTTCCTAGAGATTTTCCGGTTCCCATTCCTGCCCCTTCTAAAGCTGTGTTCTTACCCATGGGTTCTTTGTATAAGATTAACCCAATTCTACAATTCCGCTTTTTTTCTTTTTTCTTTATTCATGAGACACAGAGAGAGAGACACAGGCAGAGGGAGAAGCAGGCTCCATGCACCGGGAGCCCGATGTGGGACTTGATCCCTGGTCTCCAGGGTCACGGCGGCCTGGGCTGAGGGCGGCGCTAAACCGCTGCACCACCCGGGTGTCCTGATTTTTTTTTTTTTTTTTTTTTTTTTTTTTTTTTTACAATTCCACTTTAAAATTTAGACTGGCTGGAGTTTTTCTGTTATTTGCACCAAAAATAGTCCTGATACACAACCATTCCATCTTTGTTTCCATTTACCCTTCGTGCTTTCCCGCGGCCTGCTTAAGGCCGGGCGGGCGGGGAGCCACAAGGCGGCCCCCAAAGCTCCGGGCCGAGCAGGGCTGTGCACGTGGCCGCGAACCGGGCGGGAGGGCGCGGAAGGCGGGTTCGGGCCGCGGCGGTAACGCAGAACCACGCGCTTTCCCCGGGCCGGAGCCCCAAGCCCAACTGCCAATTGCAACTTCTGAGGCACCCCGAAGAAGCGGGCCGACGAGCGACTGGACGCGGGGAGCACGGCGCACGGGGGCAGCCCCTGGACACGGTGCCCCGGGCCTGCTCAGTCCTCCCGGGCACGGGGGCCCTCGGCGGGGACCTGGGGGAGCCCGGCCGCCGAGCTGGCGCCGCGGAGTCCGCGAGGACGAGGACGAGGACGAGCCAGCGCACGCACAGCCGGCGGCCGGCAAATGGGACAGCGGGAAGCAAGCTGACTGACGCGACGGGTCTCGCAGGCCCGAGGGGGGGCCCGGGCCCGGGCCCGGGGGCGGCGGCGGCGGCGGCGGCGACGTCCTCCGGGCAGCGCTGCCCGGGCCTGGGGCCCCTCGGCCCCTCCCGCCACCACCACGGCGGGCGGGGGGGGGGGCGGGTCAGGGGCGGCGGCGGGTCAGGAGGGGCGTCGGGTCGGAGGTGGCGGCGGCGGGTCGGGGGCGGCGGCGGCGGGTCAGGAGGGGCGTCGGGTCGGGGGGCGGCGGCGTCGGGGCGAGAGCGGCGGCGGCGTCGGGACGGGGGCCTCGGCGGCGACGGGAGCGGCGGCGTCGGGGCGGGAGCCGCGGGCCTTGGCGGGGCCCCTGCAGCGACAGCTCCGCGGGAGCGAAGGGCGGGGCCGGGGCCTCCAAGCGCCGCGACGCGGGAGGCAGAGCTGAGGCGGCATTACCAGCCGCAGGTGCGAACGCGTGCGCGCGGCGAGAAGAGAAGGGAAGGGGAAACAGTCGAAGATCCGAGCTGATGACGCCCCGCGTGTAGCTGCTGAAACTAACCCGGTGGGAAGGTCGGGTAAATTGTCACCAGAAAAAATGGAAACTTTAAGAGGAGGAAACCTCGGGAGGAAACTGGAGGCTGCAGAACGGTCTGCACGGGAAGTTCTGGGCGGCCGCGGCCGGATCTTCGAGACGCGTTCGTATTTGGACGTGCTCGGCGGCCTGGTTGTCATTCCCGCGGGAGGAAACCATTCCTGCAATGATTTTTTTTTTTTTTTTACACTTTTATTCTTTACTTTTTTAAAGCCACTTCCGTGCCCGCCGCGGGCCCCTAGGCCGCACCCCCGGCGCAGCGCTGCTCGCTGTGCGGCCGAGCCCAGCCCCAGGACGCGGTCTCCGCAGTAGGTGGCGGTAGAGGCCTGCAGGTCTACGAGTGGAGCCCCTCATTTCATTGTCCTAGGGCAGTTACGCCAGCTTTTAACATTTCCCCCAAAAAAGCTTACATTTTTTTTTACCTGGGTAGAAAGAAGTCAGCACCCTCTTCCAGGCTTCGGCAGTCCCCTCCCAAACCGTCCCCTGAAGCCTGTCCCCGTCGGCGTGCGGGGGCCGCCGGGCCCTACGGGGTTTCCCCCTCGACCCCAGAGCCCGGCCCTGCCCGGCAGCCACCGGGGCGACCTCGCACGCCCTCGGGTTTCTGAGAGCACCCCGAAGTGGCGCCCGCCACTGGCAGTCCGCGGCTGGCAGAGCCGAGGGAAGCCAGCCAGGCCGAGGGGTGGCGGGACGCCTACACTTGAGGCGAGGGAGGCGGGTGCTCGCGTCGACGCTCCGAGGAGGGTCCGGCCAGGAGAGGGAAGGGCGGGGCCGGCAGCGCCGTGGCCCTCGAGGCGCCCCCTCCACGCCCCAGACGCTGGGAGAAGCGTCTTCCGAGTGACTCGCTTCACGGCCTCGGCCTGTCCTGTTCGGGCGGAGGCGCCGGCGCGCTTGGCCCGGGGGAGCCGGGGTGAGGCCGACACCTGCCCCGCCCGGCCCGGCCCGGCCCGGCACGCCCCGGGCGGGCGGCCCGCGGCTTCCCTCGGCTGAGGCTGAGGCTGAGGCCCCTGGGCGCCCCGGGCCGCGGGGGAGGGGCCCTCCGCAGGCCCCAGGAGGCGCGGGGAAGGCGCTGCGCGGCAGCTCGCGGCCAGCTCCGCGGCGACTGAAGGCCGGCTCCCACGCCTATTTCCCGGAGGGGACCGACGCCCCGAAGTACCCTGGTGGCTTCATCCGAGTTACGCAACGGGATGGAGTTTTCCTCCTTTCTCTCCCCGTCCCGCCGTTTTCCTAGAGGGTCCCTGGGAGCCTAAGAGCCCGACCCAGGGGCTTGGAGCCGCCGGAGCTCTGCGCGCGGGGCCGTTCGTCGTGTCGGTGACCCGCGCGGGAGGAGCTCAGGCTCGCCCCCTGGGGTGCAGCCGACCAAGGACCGGACCTCCCGCCGCTGAAGGAGGTCGGGGGAGCCCCTGCAGGCGGGCCCGCACTGTGCCAGGTGTGCCCGCCTGTTGTGCCCCAGATTGCGAATCCGAGAAAACCACCGAGGAGCCGACACCGCTGCAAGTACATGAGGGTTAATTAGCTTGGGTCCAAGTATGCCCGACACGGGGAGCAGGGCCTCGGACCCCAAGGGGAGTTACAGCTGGGTTTTTATGGGCTGGTCTAGGGGATTTTCAGAAGGGGTGGAGGCATTTCTTACGCTGTTTTCATTCCAATACCGGACTTTCTGTCAAGGGCATTCTGAGCTCTGTTCTTACTCTGACGTGCGACTCTCTAAGGGCGTTCTGCGGTTTTTCCTGTAAAGTTCAGCTCTTATTCACAGGGGCCTGAGATGGCTGTACTTGTGCTAACGCTAAACCTGAGGTGGAATGGCCTTAATTTTCTCAGTCTCCACAAGGTGTGCCCGCACTGTGCCAGGTGTGCCCGCCTGCCCTCCCAGACGACTCTACTTACTGGCTGTGTGAGGACACCTGCGTCCCCGCTGGAACGTATTTTTCCCCCAGTCGGCAGGTGGGAAATGGCTCTTGGCATTTGTGTGCCGGGAAGGTTGAAACCTAGCTTCTTACGTGCTCACAGACCTTTCGGGATTTCTTCTTTGAATTGCTTTTGTTCCATCCTCTGTCGATTTAAAAAAAAATAACTGGGCCTTATTTGTGTTGTCGAATTGTAGGTACTCTTTATCCAATCTGGAATTAAGTCTTTGTCACTTGTCTTTTCACTTCATTTTATGATGTCTTTTTGTAAGACTCAATTTTTTTTTTTCTTTCATGGCCAATAGGAAACTTCAAAAGGAAATGTTTAGGGAAGTGAGGAAGATCCTGGAAAATCCAGCAGGGTTCTTAGGAGGATCCCCGGAGAAGGCAGCCGGGCCCCCTCGCCACCCGGACTGACAGTGTAGGGAACAAAGGAGGGCCATGGAGGCAGTCTGGGTGAAAGTGAGGTTCTAGGAGCAGAAAGTGGGCGCTGGGGACCAGAGAAGGAGCTACGGAAATACGGTTAGGCTTCTCCGACGCAGAGGCAGAGGTGGATGTTGAAGGATTTACAGGGCTCTCGTTTGAGATACTGTAAAAGGTAAAAATACAGAAAGGGCGCCTGGCCTGCACGCTTGGCTGCCTAAGGGCTTCCTAGCAAACCTTGGCTTTGCCTTACAACACCAGTGATTCTAGTTTCCTCATGAAGCAGACGACTTTTCTAGGACGAGTCAAGAAGTTACATGTTGTTAAAGGCAGCGTAGACGGGGTGGGGGGTCTAGTACCAGCAGCTGTGGACCCGGTTCAGGTCTCTCAAGAGGCAAGAGAAACTCCTGAGGTTTTTCATTTAAAAAAAAAAAAAGTACTGTTTCAGGGTGCCAGGCTGGCTCAGTTGGAGGAGCATGCAACTCTTGATCTTGGGCTTGTGAGTTCGAGCCCCGTGTTGGGTGCAGAGATTACTTAAAAACAAAATCTGTTAAAAATTTACATATATTATTTCAATACTGACCTTTGATTGTTGGTGCTACTTGTATCTTGTTTGTGTGATTTTTGCTTGTCTCCAAATCATGTTGGTGTTCTCTATGTGTTTTGGGTTTCTTTATCCAATTTATCAGAACCAAAAATAAATAAACCAAAACCCAAAGCAGTTTGCTAATTTTGCCCACCATACACCTAATGCCTCTGGCAACTGCAAATCATTCTCTAGATCTATGAGTCCGCTTCCTTGTTTTGTTTTTTTAGATTCCAGATATAAGAAAAATCAGTGTTTGTCTTTCTCCGTTTGACTTATTTCACGTGACATAACGCCTTCAAAGTCTATCGGTGTTGGAACAAAAGGAGAGGTCTTATTCTTATTGATCGCTGAATAATAACCACATTTTCTTTGTCCATTTATTGATTGTTTCCATATCTTGGATACTGCAAATATGCTTCAGTAAATATAGGGGTATATGTTAAAACAATTGAGTGTTTTTTGTTTTCTGTAGGCAAATACCCAGTAGTGGAATTACTGGATCATAGGGTATTTCTAGTTTTAATTTTTTGAAGAACCTCCATACTGTTTCGCACAGTGGTTGCAGCAGTTTGCATTCCCACCAACGGTGCACGAGGGGTCCTTTTTCTCCACATCCTCACCAACACTCATTATTTCTTTTTGACCCCAGTCATCTGACAGGTGTGATAGCTCATTGTGGTCTAGATTTGCATTTCCCTGATGATAGTGGGATGTTGAGCATTTTTTAATGTACCTGTTGGCCATCTACATGTATGTCTTCTTTAGAAAAATGTGAATTCAGAGCTTCTGCCCATTTTTTAACGGGATTTTTTTACTGAGTTCTCAGTTCGTTATATATTTTGCATATTAACTCCTTCTCAGATCTATGATTTGCAAACAGTGGGTCACCGTTTCACACTCTCGATGGTTTCCTCTGCTATACAGACGCTTTTTTTCTTTACTTTTTTTTCTGTGAGAGAGCATGTGCAAGCAGGGAGGGGGGCAGAGGGAGGGACTCTCAAGCTGACTCCATGCTAAGCATGGAGCCAAACTCGGGCTCGATCTCACCACCCTGAGATCATGATGGGAGCTGAATATAAGAGAAGCTCAACTGACCAAGCTGCCCAGGCGCCCCTGTACAGAAGCTTTTTAGTTTGAAGTAGTCCTACTTGTTTATTTTTGCTTTTGTTGGTTTTGCTTTGGGTATCAGATTTAAAAAATCATCACCAAGACATCAGTGTCAAGGAGCTTACCTCCTACGTGTTCTTCTAGAAGTTTTATGGTTTTAGGCCTTATGTTCAAGTCTTTAAATCATATTAAGTTAGTTTTTGTGTAAGGTGTAAAAGTCCGGTTTTATTCTGTCGCATATGGCAGCTTATTTATTTATTATTATTATTTTTTTTAAGATTTATTTACTTATTCATTCAGAGAGAGAAAGAGGGGCAAAGACACAGGCAGAGGGAGAAGCGGGCTCCATGCAGGGAGCCCGACACAGGACTCGATCCCAGGTCTCCAGGATCACACTCTGGGCTGCAGGCAGCACCAAACCGCTGCGCCACCGGGGCTGCCTGCATGTGGCAGTTTAATTTTCACAGCACTAGTTAACAAAGGGACTGTGTTTTCCCCATTGTACATTCTTGTTGCCTTTGTTATAATTAACCATATATGCATGGGTTTATTTCTGGACTCTGCATTCCGTTCCATTTATCTAAATGTCTATTTTTATGGTAACACCACACCGTTTAATTACTCTGGCTTTGTAATCTATTTTGATATCAGGGAGCATGATGCGTCTTCTTTCTCAAGATTGCTTGGGCTATTTGGGGTCTTTTGAGGTTCCACGCACATCTTAGGTTTGTCTATTTCCGTGAAAAATGCCATTAGAATTTTGAGAGTGATCGCACTGGGTCTATCAAATTGTTTTGGGGTAGTATGGGACATTTTAACAGTATTCTAATCAATGGACATGGACTGTCTTTCCATTTCTTTCTGCCCTCTTCAATTTCTTTCATCAGCATCTTAGGGTTTTCAGAGTACAGATCTTTCACCTCCTTCGTTTATTCCTAGGTATTTTTTTTCTTTTTGATGCAGTTGTAAATGGGATCATTTTCTTAATTCCTCTTCCTGATATTTATACATTAATTTTTTTTATTTTTTTTATTTATTATTTATGATAGTCACACACAGAGAGAGAGATGCAGAGACACAGGCAGAGGGAGAAGCAGGCTCCATGCACCAGGAGCCTGACGTGGGACTCGATCCTGGGTCTCCAGGATCACGCCCTGGGCCAAAGGCAGGCGCCAAACCGCTGCGCCACCCAGGGATCCCTACATTAATTTTTTTTATCCTGTAACTTCACTGAATTTGTTCTTTAGCTCTACTAATAGATTTCTAGTGGAGTCTTTGGGATTTTATATATAAAGCATGTCATCTGCAATTAGCAATGATCGCTCCTTGGATAAACCTCACTGGCTATGATACTGCCACTGTGCAAAGCTAGCATGTCCTCTGCAAATAGTGACAGTCTACCCCTTCCTTTTCAATTGGGATGCCTTTTATTCCATGCCTACTTGCTCTAGTGAGAGCTTCTAATACTATATTGATTAAAAGTGGCAAGAATAGTCATCCTTGTCTTGTTCCTGATCTTTCACTGTTGAATATGTCAGTTGCAGGCCTGTCATAAGTGGCCTTCATTATGTTGAGATGGCTTTCATCTATACACCCTCTTTGTTGAGAGTTTTTAAAAGCCTAAACGCAAGTTCAATTTTATCAAAAATTTTTTCTGCATGTATTGAGATAAGATTTTTATCCTTCATTTCTTAATGTGGTGTATCACACTGATTTATTTGCAGATACTGAATCATCCTTGCATCCCTGGGGAAAAAAATCCCACTTGATCATGGTGTATGACCCTTTTAACATATTGTTGAATTCAGGTTGCTAATATTTTGTTGAGGATTTTTGCATCTATATTCAGCAGGGATACGGGCCTTTAATTTCCTGGTGGCATCCTTTTCTGGTTTTGGTATCAGAGTAATGTTGGCTTTGTAAAATGAGTTTGGAAGAGTTTCTTCCTCTTCTGGGGTTGGTGGGTTTTTTTTGGAAGAATTTAAGAAGGATGAGTATTAATTTTTTTTAAAGATTTTATTTATTTATTTATTCATGAGAGATACAGATTGAGAGAGAGAGGCAGAGACACAGGCAGAGGGAGAAGCAGGCTCCATGCAGGGAGCTCGATGTGGGACTTGATCCCAGGGACTCCAGGATCACGCCCTGGGCCAAAGGCAGATGCTTTAACCTCTGAGCCACCCAGGCGTCCTTAATATTAATTTTTTTAGTGTTTGGTAGAATTCACCAGTGAAGCCGTCTGATTCTGGACTTTTGCTTATTGAAAGGTATTCAATTATTGATTCAATCTCATTACTAGTATTGGTCTATTCAGATTCTTATTTATGATTTAAGTCTTGGTAGGTTGTATGTTCTTGGAATTAATTTTTTCTAGGCTAATTTGTTAGCATATAATTGTTCATAATGGTTTCTTAGAAACCTTTGTGGTAGCAGTTGAAACAGCTCCTCTTTCATTTCTGAAATTATTTTTTTAGGTCTTATCTATGTTTTCAAAGAACCAGCTGGGTTTTTTTTCATTGATCTTTTCCATTGGTCCTTTTTAAAATCTCTGTTTCATTTATTTTTGCTCTGATTTTTGTTATATTTTCTTCCTCCTATAAACTCTGGGTTTGAACTCTAGCTCTTTGAGGTGTAATGTTGTTTTGGAATTTTGTTTCATGAGGTAAGCATTTGTTGTGAACTTCCTAGATTTTTAGAACTGCTTTTGATGCATCCCATAAATTTTAGTGTGTTACTTTTCCATTTTCATTTGTCTCAAGGTATTTATTTTTATTGATTTCTTTGTTGACTCATTGGTGGTTCTGTAGCATGTGGGCTAGCCTCTCCATATTTGTGAATTTTCCAGTTTCCTACTTGTAATGACTTCTAGTGTCACACTATTTGGTGGAAAAAATATTTGATATGGTGTAAGTCCTCTTAAATAAATTAAGATCTGTTTT